ATGCGCGCGCAGGTACGCAAAATGGTACATGCGCGTGCAAGTGCGCAAAATGGTACATCAAATAAAGGTTTGGAATATAATTTACATTATTCGATGATAAATTATTATTGTGTAAAATATTATATAATTAATAGGAACAACTATAAATAGAAACATCATACGTTCTTGGTATAAATGCATCACAATTTATCTTGATATCTCGGTAAAATAACTACACAGTTAGCAGTTAATTATTCATACTAAATTGACATCTTGCTAATTAAAAACATTCCAAGTGAACTTTGGTTTTTGTTCTTGCATGCAATGAATTACATTCAAAAAGAAAAGCTATTTTTGGACAGTTAAATATGAATATATAAAAGAGAGAAGAAAAATATCCTATTTGATGATAGCTACTTGAGGGCTATCTGCATTAGCTGTCTCTAATTTAGAAGTGATAGACTAGAGGGCTACTCTATTACCAACAAATAGTGTGATTGACTGACACATTATAACAGTCCCTCGGGTAAAAAAGGCGAACATGATCAGTGACGGGAATTCGAACCTGTCACCAGCGGATTGTGAGGCATCTATTGGAGGGAGGCCACCTTTTACTGTATTCTCATCATCAGTACTTCTGATGTTCTCTTCGTGGTTGCTGGACAAGATATAATTTTCAATGGCAGCTGGACAGGATATAATCTTCCGTGGTTGTTTGGAAAGGATATAATTTTCTATGACAGATCAATAAGTCTGGGAAACCTTGGCACACAAATGAATGACATCTTAGCTATTTGAAAAACAAAATAGCCAAAATGTTCAAGAATTCAATCATAAAGCTTGAACTTGCAAGGTCAGTTTAATTTCAATTAGTCGAAAGGTCAACTAGGTATGTAGGTTGAAAAAAGTCATAACTGCCAAGTTATGACCATTGCTCTTCTCTAAAAACTACCATTAGAGGAAGGGTAATTGACAGATTATCTTAGTCACGTGCTCATGTGCTTGAATCATCCATAGATCATGCATTCCCAGCACCTGTGAACTTTTTGGTTCACAGCTCTCATGTGGTTTCCACTTGACCAATACATCTTGCAGCTAAGTGTGCCCTCTGTTGCCATTCCCATGACAACAGCCAATATGCTTGTCTTTTGACATAGATCCATTCCTTCCACTACACTCCAGTTGTTATGTAAACAGTACCTAGTTCCAGTAGAAAAGGAGTGTGGTTGAGACCATAAAACTGGATCCTGCATACATGAGCCAACTTAGGTTAGGTGATGACAACCCTTACGTTTGGCCATTAGGATTCACGAATGCTTTCATTATCTTTCCTTAGAGACTGCCTTCCAGATACAAGTTTAGTAGTCACAATGTTGTGATTTATAAAGTCTTACTGCTTGGGTGTTACATCCTACCAAAAATGTCAGTGTCGAAATTTAAACATTCATTCACAAGTATTAAGAAAAAATAACATGATCACTGTATCTTCAAAATAATTCCTTGCAGGTCAATAAGTGCAATTAACCTCCTATCACAAGGTCTTAACATCTAGATTAAATACTTTATTTCCATTCACATGTGACTTAATTGTGTGTTCTTGATGTAATTGGTCCACTCATGTTATACAACACTCATGAATTACTTCATGTAATGTTCCTACAAGCATGTGGGACCACATAGGTATTTAGTTAGACATATCTATTGCTATATACATATATCTCCATTACACGTTGTCACATACACTAATAGATTTCAACAAACGACGGCCGGCTTCAATTCAAATTATTTTACACGACTGTCTCAGGCTATTTTCTGAAAATACTGCTTGATTGCTATGGTTTAGTGAAGTGCAAACCGTCCAACATGTGCATTTTTATTTTCAAGCATCAAAAAACTAAATAATCAGTGGGAGAATTCAGCTAAACCAAGACTTTTCAGTTAAATTTCTCGTAATTAGAATTAATATTTATTCTGTCACTTTAGTATATACAAGTAATAAAA